TGCCCAAGCCCCCCACGCACCCCGCCATGCTTTTCATGGACCCATGGCTCCTGGTCCTATTCTTCATCCCTTGAGCTGCTCCACCCCCACCCGCAACCCCCACCCCCACCCCGCACGCACCCTGCCCCGCCGCCCGTGCTTGTCATGGGCCCCTTGCTCCTGGCGTCATGGCTCCACCCCCACCCCCAACCCCCACCCCCAACAACACCCCACCCTTTCCACACTTCTAACCCCCAACCCCCAACCCCCACCCCCACCCACCCACACTTCCAACCCCTACCCCCACGCCCCACGCACCCCGCCCCCCACTGAACCCATGGCTCCTGGCCCGTGGCTTTTCAGCTGACTTTAAAGGGCCCCAGTGCATGCCCGGGCCCTCCGCCCGCTCCGCCCTCCGCCCTTCCAGCTCCGCCCACTCTCCTCTGGCCCACCGCCCATCCGCCCTTCCCGCTCCGCATACATTCCCCTTGCCCAAGCCCCCCACGCACCCCGCCATGCTCCAACCCGCAACCCCCACCCCACCCCGCGCGCACCCTGCCCCGCCGCCTGTGCTTGTCATGGGCCCGCCCCCCCACTGAACCCATGGCTCCTGGCCCCATTGGCTCATGGTCCACGGCCCATGGGTGTGGCTTCTTATGGCCCCTGCTCCACCCCAACCCCCAACCCCCACCCCCATACCGTACGCATCCTGCCACCCCCAACCCCCAACCCCCACCCCCACCCACCCACACTTCCAACCCCTACCCCCACCCCCCACGCACCCCGCCCCCCACTGAACCCATGGCTCCTGGCCCGTGGCTTTTCAGCTGACTTCAAAGGGCCCCAGTGCATGCCCGGGCCCTCCGCCCGCTCCGCCCTCCGCGCTTCCAGCTCCGCCCACTCTCCTCTGGCCCATGCTCCCACTCTCCATCCCCTTGACCTACCTCTCATGGACCCAGCTCCCTACCCCTTACCCCTCACACCCCTCACGCACCCTGCCCCGCCGCCCATGCCCCTCATGGACCCATGGGTTCTGGCCCCACGGCTCCCCTCCGCCCTTACCCCCACCACCCACGCACCCGCTCCCCGCCCATCCGCCCTTCCCGCTCCGCACACATTCCCCTTGCCCAAGCCCCCCACGCACCCCGCCATGCTTTTCATGGACCCATGGCTCCTGGTCCTATTCTTCATCCCTTGAGCTGCTCCACCCCCACCCGCAACCACCCCCACCCCGCACGCACCCTGCCCCGCCGCCCGTGCTTGACATGGGCCCCTTGCTCCTGGCGTCATGGCTCCACCCCCACCCCCAACCCCCACCCCCAACACCCCACCCTTTCCACACTTCTAACCCCCACCCCCACCACCCACGCACCCCGCCCCCCACTGAACCCATGGCTCCTGGCCCGTGGCTTTTCAGCTGACTTTAAAGGGCCCCAGTGCATGTCCGGGCCCTCCGCCCGCTCCGCCCTCCGCCCTTCCAGCTCCCCCAACCCCCAACCCCCACCCCCATACCGTACGCATCCTGCCACCCCCAACCCCCAACCCCCACCCCCACCCACCCACACTTCCAACCCCTACCCCCACCCCCCACGCACCCCGCCCCCCACTGAACCCATGGCTCCTGGCCCGTGGCTTTTCAGCTGACTTTAAAGGGCCCCAGCGCATGCCCGGGCCCTCCGCCCGCTCCGCCCTCCGCCCTTCCAGCTCCCCCAACCCCCAACCCCCACCCCCATACCGTACGCATCCTGCCACCCCCAACCCCCAACCCCCACCCCCACCCACCCACACTTCCAACCCCTACCCCCACCCCCCACGCACCCCGCCCCCCACTGAACCCATGGCTTCTGGCCCGTGGCTTTTCAGCTGACTTTAAAGGGCCCCAGTGCATGCCCGGGCCCTCCGCCCGCTCCGCCCTCCGCCCTTCCAGCTCCGCCCACTCTCCTCTGGCCCATGCTCCCACTGTCCATCCCCTTGACCTACCCCTCATGGACCCAGCTCCCTACCCCTTACCCCTCACACCCCTCACGCACCCTGCCCCGCCGCCCATGCCCCTCATGGACCCATGGGTTCTGGCCCCACGGCTCCCCTCCGCCCTTACCCCCACCACCCACGCACCCGCTCCCCGCCCGTGCTTGTCCTGGGCCCGTCATGGCTCCACCCCCACCCCCAACCCCCATCCCCAACACCCCACCCTTTCCACACTTCCAACCCCCACTCCCACCACCCACGCACCCCGCCCCCCCACTGGACCCATGGCTCCTGGCCCCATTGGTGTTGGTCACATTCTTCATCCCTCGACCTGCATGGCTGCCAACGCTTGGTCCTTTTATGGCCCCTGCTCCACCCCAACCCCCAACCCCCACGTACGCATCCTGCCACCCCCAACCCCCAACCCCCACCCCCACCCACCCACACTTCCAACCCCTACCCCCACCCCCCACGCACCCCGCCCCCCACTGAACCCATGGCTCCTGGCCCGTGGCTTTTCAGCTGACTTTAAAGGGCTCCAGTGCATGCCCGGGCCCTCCGCCCGCTCCGCCCTCCGCCCTTCCAGCTCCGCCCACTCTCCTCTGGCCCATGCTCCCACTCTCCATCCCCTTGACCTACCCCTCATGGACCCAGCTCCCTACCCCTTACCCCTCACACCCCTCACGCACCCTGCCCCGCCGCCCATGCCCCTCATGGACCATGGGTTCTGGCCCCACGGCTCCCCTCCGCCCGAACCCCCACCACCCACGCACCCGCTCCCCGCCCATCCGCCCTTCCCGCTCCGCAACATTCCCCTTGCCCAAGCCCCCCACGCACCCCGCCATGCTTTTCATGGACCCATGGCTCCTGGTCCTATTCTTCATCCCTTGAGCTGCTCCACCCCCACCCGCAACCCCCACCCCCACCCCGCACGCACCCTGCCCCGCCGCCCGTGCTTGTCATGGGCCCCTTGCTCCTAGCGTCATGGCTCCACCCCCACCCCCAACCCCCACCCCCAACACCCCACCCTTTCCACACTTCCAACCCCCACCCCCACCACCCACGCACCCCGCCCCCCCACTGGACCCATGGCTCCTGGCCCCATTGGTGTTGGTCACATTCTTCATCCCTCGACCTGCATGGCTGCCAACGCTGGTCCTATTATGGCCCCTGCTCCACCCCACCCCCCAACCCCCACCCCCATACCGTACGCATCCTGCCACCCCCAACCCCCAACCCCCACCCCCACCCACCCACACTTCCAACCCCTACCCCCACCCCCCACGCACCCCGCCCCCCACTGAACCCATGGCTCCTGGCCCGTGGCTTTTCAGCTGACTTTAAAGGGCCCCAGTGCATGCCCGGGCCCTCCGCCCGCTCCGCCCTCCGCCCTTCCAGCTCCGCCCACTCTCCTCTGGCCCATGCTCCCACTCTCCATCCCCTTGACCTACCCCTCATGGACCCAGCTCCCTACCCCTTACCCCTCACGCACCCATTCTTCATCCCTCGACCTGCAGGGCCATGGACCCATGGCTCCTGGTCCCATGTCTCCCCTCCGCCCCTACCCCCACCACCCACGCACCCGCTCCCCGCCCATCCGCCCTTCCCGCTCCGCATACATTCTGTTTGCCCAAGCCCCCCACGCACCCCGCCATGCTCCACCCCCACCCGCAACCCCCACCCTGCCCCGCCGCCTGTGCTTGTCATGGGCCCGCCCCCCACTCACTGAACCCATGGCTCCTGGCCCCATTGGCTCATGGTCCACGGCCCATGGGTGTGGCTTCTCAGCTGACTTTGAAGGGCCCCAGTGCAAGCGGAGCCCTCCGCCCTTCCAGCTCCGCCTACCCCCCTCTGGCCCATGCTCCCACTCTCATCCCTCGACCTGCATGGCTGCCAATGCTGGTCCTATTATGGCCCCTGCTCCACCCCAACCCCCAACCCCCACCCCCATACCGTACGCACCCTGCCACGCCCAACCCCCTGCCCCGCCGCCTGTGCTTGTCATGGGCCCGCCCCCCACTGAACCCATGGCTCCTGGCCCCATTGGCTCATGGTCCACGGCCCATGGGTGTGGCTTCTCAGCTGACTTTACAGGGCCCCAGTGCAAGCCCGGGCCCTCCGCCCGCTCCGCCCTCCGCCCTTCCAGCTCCGCCTACCCCCCTCTGCCACTCTCATCCCTCGACCTGCATGGCTGCCAATGCTGGTCCTACAAATGGCCCCTGCTCCACCCCAACCCCCAACCCCACCCCCATACCGCACGCACCCTGCCACGCCCAACCCCCAACCCCCACACCACCCCCCACCAACACTCCCCTAACCCACCCCCACGCACCACCGACCAACACGGAACCCATGGCTCATGGCCCCTTGAGCTCATGGGTCCACGGCCCCATGCATGGGTGTGGCTTCCAGCACTGACTTTAAAGGGCCCACCCCCCCCACCCCCCCCCACCACCACCCCCCCCCACCCCCCCCACCCCCACCCCCACCCCCACCCCCCTCCCTGCCACCCCCAACCCCCAACCCCCCACCCACGCACCCAGCCCCCCCACTGAACCCATGGCTCCTGGCCCCATTGGCTCATGGTCCACGGCCCATGGGTGTGGCTTCCCAGCTGACTTTAAAAGCGCCCCAGTGCATGCCCGGCCCCACCCCCCTCCCTGCCACCCCCAACCCCCAACCCCCACCCCCACCCACCCACACTTCCAACCCCTACCCCCACCCCCACGCTACCCTACATTTAGAGGACTTATAAGGCCATACAACTTGACGCGGCGCACGCACAGCCGCTCCCTACATGCGGCGCACGCACTGCCGCTGATGATAGTCGCACATGGAGTTGGTATCCCACTGAGTCCGCGGCCATTTGTCCACCATGGTCTTGTCCACGCGAAAGACTATATATATATATATATATATATATATATATATACATAATCCGCGGCCGGAGCCCACAGTGCCTTGGCCCCCCTTGGAGGGGGTCGGCGGCACTGGCGGTAGCCATTAAATATATAGACACACATACGTGACTGCACAAAGATCACCCCTAGCTGCTATAGCTGAGGGCTTAGAGGGCTCAGGGGCTTGAACTCACAAGCCCCGAACCGATTTTTGAGCGCCGGGACGCGAGTGACGGAGCAAACGGTGTACGCGGGCTTCACAATGTGGCCGAAGTCGTAGGCCACCCTGCCATGCGGGTTGAGGGCTTCGAGCTTCCCAAAGAGCCCTCTACCCCCTCCTTGAGGAATAGTTACCTTAGATCATACTAAGGATCCCTACATAAAGTAAGCAATATTCCCTAACTGAGGACAACTCTGCGAAAGGAAGGCCTCGAGGGCTCCAGTGGGCCGCAAACAAGAAGGAACTGCCCTCTCACCGGGTGGGCCGGAGAGACTCATATGCATGCAGGGGGCGCTGAGGAGACGATGCTGCCTCCGAAAGATCCCCCCCCCCCACTCCCCCCTTAACCGAAGTTGCCTAGATCCGAAACGCCCTAAACCCCTAAACCCTAAACCCCTAAACCCTAAACCGCCCTGGGCTTTTTTGTGTAACCTGAGAGCTAGGTTCTGGCGAAGCTCTTGGAGTAGAGGCCCGGAGATGCTCGCACTACTTTCGGGTTTAGGGTTTAGGGTTTAGGGTTTAGGTTTAGGGTTTAGGGTTTAGGGTTTAGGGTTTAGGGTTTAGGGTTTAGGGTTTAGGGTTTAGGGTTTAGGGTTTAGGGTTTAGGGTCTGGGGTCTGGGGTCTGGGGTCTAGGGTTTAGGGTTTAGGGTTTAGGGTTTAAGGTTCAAGGCTTCGGTGCTTGGCTGAGCTTAGGGCGCCCAGAACTTTGGAGGAGGGCTGACGTCAGGGCTGGCTACACCCTTAGCAGAGTTCAGCTTCGGGTTGTTTAGGGTTTTGGGATGTTCCCACTTATATTAACAGTCCTAAATCCGGATCAGAATACCCCCGATTTTGATCCCCATTAAAGACTGTTAGTATAAGGGGGAACATCCCCAAAACCGCTCCGGCAGGTTTCTCCGAGGCCAGCACCTCGGTGTCCTCGAATCACCCGCGACTCCGTACACGTAGCGGACGGGAGCGGCAGCGCCGCTTCCCTGCGCCTGCGTGGCGAAGCTCCCAGGCCCCAACAACCCAAATCCTCTAAGCCGAACTCTCTAAACCCTAAATAAACCCTAAACCCCTCTAAACCAGACCCTCTAAACCCCCAAACCCTCTTTCATGATGTCATTGCAGAGGCTCCAAAGCGGAAAACCGAAGCCCTTGAACCCAAGCCCTTGAACCCAAAAGAAACTAAGGGGACTCAAACCCTAAACCCTAAGCCCCAAACCCTAAACCCTAAACCCTAAACCCTAAACCCTAAACCCTAAACCCTAAACCCTAAACCAACCCTAAGCCTCAAACCCGAAACCCCAAAAACGCATGGTGGCCGAGCTCAAGGCTCGGTTCTCTTGGGTCTTGTTTGTTTTAACATTGTCTGCCACCCTGAATTACCAGGCATTATCTGAAACAACCCTAAACCCTAAACCCAAAACCCTAAACCCTAAACCCTAAACCCCAAACCACCCCCCTTGTGGAAGTAGCCGTCTGGTCTGGGAGTTCGGGTTCAGGGATTTGGGGTAGGGACTTAGGGGCCTAAGGAAGAGGGTTTGGGGTTTGGGTCCCTCAAGGATTTAGGACTTAGGGCCCAGGGATGCGTAGGGCTAGGGCTCTGAGGGATTTCGGCGCTTGGGGTTGAGGGACTCTCCGGCTGGCAACTACCATGCCGACCATACCCATACCCATGGATAGGAGCTGGCCTTCACTGGTTCATGTCCCTCCTTCTTTTCGCATGTGTATGCACGCACCGCCGGCCTCGTACACCTTCGCCTCACCTCAGCGGGAGTCTACCCAGCGTCTGAATGGACGCAGACGTGACACAATATCTGGATCTGATTTTGGGGCAGGTCGGACTTTCTAAAAAAGTCTCTTGGTTCCCAAGCTTTGAGGTGAAGCCGGATCGGACGACCTGCATACCTGCCTTCTAAGCTGGCGCGCGGAGGCCGTGCTAAAGACATCTTGGAGACTCCAGTGAGCTACAGCGGAACAGATACGAAACCAAAAATCTTCAGGGCTTGCTCTCTGAATCACTGTGCTGCTTGCTTTCAAGCAGCCGTGCGTGGCATGTGCGGCGTAGTCCCCAACAGCACTTCGCCAGTTTGGCGCCGCGTCCTTTCGACTGATTACACAAGCTACGTCTAAGGCTTTGAAGGGACTCTATTTGGGGGTTTCCGAAAATAGGGGTACCCTTTTTGGGGGTATAAAAGGGACCCCTTTTTTGGGAAATACCCATTTCGGAACAATCCCCTCATCGTACGGCTGCAGCCAGTCCTCGCTCTTGTACCAAGCGACAAGACCAGGTGACTGGGCATAGTCCTTGGACTTCGGAGGCTGCTTCGGGGCGTAGGGCCCACAATCCAACCCCACTTCTCTCAACTCCTTAAACCCCATAGAGAGGGCGCGAAAACTGCAGCTCCGCAGCGTTGATAGAATATCCTTTAAGTTTTTGGTTCTGGGGCCAAGGCTAGAGGTATCAAAGTCTCTAGGCGTTGGGTTTACGGGACGCTTCCCGCCAGGGTTAGAGGCCTCAGCGTCCCGCGTGCCTGTGTCGTGCAGCAGGACACGTTCCATCCTAGCGGTCCTAGCGTCTGAGTTCCCCGAAAACCCTTCAAACCTTCGTCACCCCCCCCCCGTTCAACCCTTTAGAGCCCTAGGACCCTTCTAAGGTGCCATAGAATCCCATAGAAACTCTGCGTCTCGGCCTCTGAAGACACCCTATGCAACCCTTGAGGCCCCCAAAAATGGGCCCAGGCTCCAGGTGGTCGACTTGGCTACTCAACCCTTGAGGCCCTAAAAATGGGCCCAGGCTCCAGGTGCTCGACTTGGAACTTCTCCAACACCCAGTTCTGCGCCACGAGTGGGCCCACCTGCGGTGAGCCATCCATCTGCCTCCTGGGCCGGCGGCTCTGAGGGGCTCCCAGGGTTTCCATAAGGGCTCTGTGAGGCTTCTTCTCAGATATCTCTAAATTACAGTACTACAAGTAAACATCATAATTATGATAATAGTAACAATAGTAATAATAAGATTGCTAATCATCTCGGGCAGGGAAAACACCCGCGCTCAAATCCGACGGGACGGGCAGAGCGGGAAGGCAGGAGTGCGCCCGCGAAGAAAGGCCCACACGGACATCCAGACCTGAGAATAGTAATGATAATCATAAAAAAAAACAATAATAATAATAATACGAATAGTAATAATACTACTAATAGCAATAATAATAATTGGGGAAGTCCCAACCCTCGACGATCCCTCAAGGATTCCCACGTAGAGACTGCGATCGACTCGACGGCGCAGGGGGGTGAGGACAGCTGGTCAGCTGGTCAACAGGGTTTAAGATTTAGGGTTTAGGGTTTAGGGTTTAGGGTTTTGGGTTTTGGGTTTAGGGGCTGGCACCCAGCACAAAGGGGGGCGCGGAGGGCAACAGAAGACTCCACCGGTCAGACCTCTCAACTTGGAGGCTGAAACCCAGAGCCAGTTTACGTGTTGGACCTTACACAGCAACTCGCTTGCTGAGTTTAGGCGCCTAAACTCAGCTTGCATTGGAGGTTTGCGAGGATTAGGGGCTCCTTTTTGATATTGAGCCTCTGGGGGCCATAGGGCTTGATGATGCTGAAGCTTGTGGTCCGTGCGGTTCTGGGCTTTTGCCCATGGTCAAAAACAGTCCTTACAAGCGGGGGGGGGGGGGTGAACACACATCATGTCGTGAAAAACCACATCACCCCAATGTGGACGCTCACGCAGAGAATTCCCCATCACTCGAGGGAATACACATCACAAGATACGAAACCCCAATGTGGACGCTGTTTTCGGCTGCCACTGAGACCTCAAAATCCACCAGACCTCGCGGAGGCCCATGTGTCGGGCCATTTTTACATCAATCTGGCATAAATTTTGGCAGCAAATCCCGAAGGAGACGCTCGGTTTGTATCAACATACGGAATGTTGATCTTCGAATTACACACCTGAGACCCGCAGCTGCTCGAGTGCACACTGACTGCCTGCTGCCTGCTGCATGTGTCTGGCGGACCAAACACTGCGACGGAGCCCGGTTTTGATATAGAAAAAAAGTGCATTAGACCAGCTAGAACGGAAACGTCCTGCCAACTGCCTTAAACAAACTTGAAGCCGTGGTGGCAGCTTGGATCAGCGCCAAGTCTTATTCCAAAATGCAAACCCAATGTGGAGATTTGACGCAGGCGCCCCAGTGTGGATGCCGATCGATGTGTATGTACACCGAGCGATGCGAGTTAAAAGACCCCCTCCCGCATGTGTTTCACAGGTTTTCTTTCCGTATAAATAAGTATCTATATCTATATATATCTATATATATATACAAATGCCATAGATTCTTAATGTTATAGGGTTTGTAAGTTTGTAGGATTCATAGGGTCTGTCGGGCTCGGAGAGGGCTGTGACAATGGGCTGTGTGGGACGGCTCGGGCTTATAAGAAGGGAGCGTTGGTCTTTGCGTGTCTGGAGAAGCCTTGTGAGAAGAGTGCCACGCCATCCCGGTTGAGGGGTCGAAACCCTAACCCTAAAGCCTGAAGCCTAAGCCGTAAACCCTAAGCCCTAAGCCCTAAACCGTAAACCCTAAACCCAAAGCCTTGAGTTCGGGTTTGGGTGAAGGGACCCCGAAACCCGACTTTCTCAACGTGCGAACCCGTTTGAAAACAGACCCCACACCCCCGAGACATCGAAAAAGCTTGCTCTCATGCTTCACAGCCAAGGGGCCTCGTCTTTGAGTTCAGGCTGCTTCTCCGGGGGTGGAAATGGGGGCTGAGTTCTTGTGGCCATTCCAGCAGCTGTGACCCTGAACCCTAAACTCGAAACCTTTGAAGGCAAGGTGCCCAGCGCCGGGCATCCGAAGGAAGCGTCGGAGAAATGGGACGTAGAGCGCAATGGCCTGGCGTCGTTGCAGTGCTCGAAGGAGCTGTGCCACCCTAAACCCTAAACCCTAAACCCCCAAATTATAAGGTTTCGAGCGCAGGCGACCTGATCATCCTACCGATGAAGCCCATGAGCCTTCAAGCAGGGCTGAGGGTCTGTAGGGCTTCAATCCTAAAACCCTCCAAAAAGCCTTCCGAGTTGTGCTGTGAGGCTTTTTCAAAGGCTTTGGATGCAACGTCAGAAAGGTCCACACAAGGGAGACAGAAAACTTGCACGCATGGAGGCGTTGAAGATGGTTGAAGGGCTTTGAAGGCTTCGGGCTCTGGAGGGTTCGGGTTTCGTTCGGTGCTGAAAATGCTCCATGGCACTTTTTCCTTCTTTCCTCCTGCTCTGCCCGGCTTGCTGCCAAGAAGCTCCATCCCCCAGCTCGATGATCTGAAACCTCTCCCAAGCCATCCAACCTATGCAGCGCGACATAATCGGGTTGGGCTCTGTGCCTTGGGATGTTCCCCCCTATACCTAGCAGTCCTTCATCGGGATTCTATCAAGGGGTACTGTAATCTCTGTTAAGGACTGTTAGTATAAGGGGGAACATCCCAAGCTGTGCCCCTGATTCTGCTTCCCCGTATGAACAATACTGCGACGCAGCAGCGGCTGTGAATGACAGTTTCACGAGCCTCCACGTACTATGAATTGCACATGATGGCACCCCCACCTGTGCGCACCTATGACAGGGTGACTAGATGCAGCAAGGCAGCTTTCGTCAAACGCGTCGAAGTTGAACAGAAGCAGGTCGGCAAGGTTGTCCGAACCCCGTATGCCTTGCGCGAGGCGCGAGACTCGCAAAGGGGACCTGCTCCACCCATTAGGGTTTAGGGTTTAGGGTTTGGGGTTTAGGGGTTTAGGGGTTTCGGGGTTTAGGGGTTAGGGTTTAGGGTTTAGGGTTTAGGGTTTAGGGTTTAAGGTTTAGGGTTTAGGGTTTAGGGTTTAGGGTTCAGGGTTTAGGGTTTAGGGTTTAGGGTTTGGGTTTAGGGTTTAGGAGCCTGTGCAATACAGCCTGAGGTCTTGTGGGCAACTTGCAAGCGCGGCCGAGCTTCGCGCAAAGCCATTGTGGTAGAAGTTGTGCAAGGCCACATCCCCATTACTGCCCGCGTCCACGACAGTAAAGCGCTCCCATGTCCACTCTTTTGGCATGGGTATCTCACTTTCTCCGCCTCAGCACGGCAAATGTTGCCTCCTGCTGCTGCATACAACCTGAAATCAAATCAATCCAAACCTGCGTCTCTGGTGAGACAGGGTTACTACCCCGCCCCCCGCCCCCCCACCCCCCCGGCCAAACAAAAAACAACACAAATAAACAAGATAATAAGAAAAAACCAATCTCAGGCCAGAGGCTGGCGTCCATTATCGGGGAATGCGCTCGGGCAAAGCTGCCCCAATGTGCGTTGCGCAGCCTTTGCTCGACCCTCCAAGCCTTTAGGCCTGGACCCCACAGATGCTCCGAAAACGTTTGGAAAAATCCACACGCCCGAACAGTCCTCTTCTCAAAAACCCTAAACCCAAACAACTTTGCCCCAACAACCCAAGAAAACCCAAAACCAAATGGCGGGTTCTTAGTAGGGAATGAGGGAATGAGGTACCCTCGATGATGCCTTAAAGGGTATATATGGGGCCCTTATTCCCTCATTCCCCATCGTAAACTCCGAAAAGTTGGAACATCCTAATGCCCATACCCCAAAGGCATACTAGAGGGAATCCCAGCAGTCATCCTTAAGCCATGTTCCAACTCTCTGAAGTTTACTGTACTACCGGGGGGAGCTGTTCTGAGAGCAACGTGGATAATGTTTAAGGTTTAGGGTTTAGGGTTTCCTAGTTCATGGTTTGGATAGTACTAAAATGCAAATTTCTCTTCCTTACTGAGTTTAAGTACCCTTAAACATGTAAAAAGCCACCCCACAATATGACAAAGTTTTGAGGGCTTCACAATTGAGGCACCCCTTCCCTTTTCTTTTCCGGTGAGCTTTCAGACTTTTCGGTGGAGGCCTACCCTATAACCCTAAACCCTAAACCCTAAAGCCTATGAAGCGCAAGGCGCGAAATGACGTCCCCGGGCCAGACGGAAGCTGTGACCATCTCCTGGACCGGGTCTTTCGGAGATTTAGGGTTTGGGGTTTCGGGTTTGGGGTTTCGGGTTTGGGGTTTAGGGTTTAGGGTTTAGGGTTTAGGCTTTGAGGTTTGAGGTTTAGGGTTTAGGGGGTTAGGGGTTAGGGGTTTAGGGTTTAGGGTTTAGGGTTTAGGGTTTAGGGTTTAGGGTTTAGGGTTTAGGGTTTAGGGTTTAGGGTTTAGGGTTTAGGGTTTAGGGAGCAAAAGCGGCCTTCTGCTTCCAGGCGAGGATGCGCTCGTTGGGAGTCCATCCTTGCCTGACACTTCAACGGCCAGGTCTTCCCAAGCCCTCGGTCTAAGGGTTAGGGTTTAGGGTTTAGGGTTTAGGGTTTAGGGTTTAGGGTTTAGGGTTTAGGGTTTAGGGTTTGGGGTTTAGGTTAGGGTTTAGGGTTTAGGGTTTAAGGTTTGGGGTTTAGGGTTTAGGGTAAACCCTCAACCCCAAAAAGACGGTTCAGGGTTTAGGGGTGCCGAGCCAAATACGCCAGCACATCTAACTCGCATGGGTTGAATCATTGTGAATGCGACTGCGGAGACCAACACATGTACTGCCATAGGAAGCTGCAAGGGAATCCTGTGCAAAAAACGTAAAGGAAGTAAGAATGCCCCGAACCCCGAACCCTGAACCCTAAACCCTAAACCCCAAACCCCAAACCCTAACCCTAAACCCCAGTATTGGATAGCAGCAGGCTGTTTCAAAATCGCAAACCTCATTGGCCACTTCTCTACATCATGCTCCGTCTTGAGATACTGCTACAAGGCGGCCCCTAATCTTTAGGGTACCCCAAAAAACGACCATCTTTTGAGAACGGACCGCATGGATTTGAATCGGCAATTCAGCCGGGTGCGGCCCCGCGTGAGGCAAAGCTCCAGGATACTAGCGCACACGAAGCAGTCACACGGAAAACCCTAAACCCCAAACCCTAAACCCTAAACCCTAAACCCTAAACCCTAAACCCTAAACCCTGCTTGGAGCCGGGATTTGCTGCCACGGTGCAACGAGATGTCATCTTCCCAGGCCGCGCGCCCAAACCTAGCATGGCACGCCAGACTGTGAGAAACAGCGGCTGGCTACGGTTCCATGAGCATCATCATGATGTTTGTGCAACTACTAACTAAATATGAAGACATGCGTATATGTATATGTAAATGGATGTGTCTATGTGTATGTATTTGTATATGTATGCGTATATGTATATGTATATGGATATGGATATGTATATAAATCCTAAACCCTAAACCCTAAACCCTAAACCCGAAACCCTAACCCTTTAGAGGATTCCGCAGAGAGCCCCGCCGAGCATCCCTGGAGTGCCGGGAGAGAAAGGCGGCTTAGGGTTTAGGGTTTGGGGTTTAGGGTTTGGGGTTTAGGGTTTAGGGTTTAGGGTTTAGGGTTTGGGGTTTAGGGTTTAGGGTTTAGGGTTTAGGGTTTAGGGTTTAGGGGTTTAGGGGTTTAGGGGTTTAGGGGTTTAGGGGTTTAAAGTTTAGGGTTTGGGGTTTAAGGTTTAGGGTTTAGGGTTTAGGGTATGTTTGGAGACACGCCCCGGCGAAGCCCGCAACAGTCCCGGCGAGTATCCATATGGAGTGCCCAGAGAATCCCGCAGAGAGGTAGCTGTAGGGTGGGGATGAGCGAAGTAAAGCATGTAATTGATAGGGTTTAGGGTTTAGGGTTTAGGGTTTAGGGTTTAGGGTTTAGGGTTTAGGGTTTAGGGTGTGTGTGTACATAAGCATATACATGTATCAGCATCCGGGGCCCTCGTGACGGAGTGGCGTGCGCTGGAGCGTCGAGGGACACTGCGGTGTGCGAAGTTCCCGGAGCCGCCCAGTGCACGTTGCCTCCCTGGATCCAATCTCTGGTGCCATCCTTGTTCATTGTTGGGATAATATTAAAAATTTAAATTTATATTCCTTATTGGGTTTAAGTACCCTTAAAAATGTAAAATGTTACCCAACTATGACAAAGCATCGGCTTCCTCGACTGGAACCCACATGTCGAGACCTGGCATGGATCGAGCAACCAAAGTGCACAGCCCTCAGGGAACTTCGCAGGCTCAGGGAAAACTGGAAACGCCCTAGGAGGCCCCCCCCCCAAGCCCACAATAATCCACAGGATTTCGTAGATGACACAAACGTGACTCTTCAACTCCTGAGGCACAGGCCCTGGTCAATATAGTAGCGATAGTTGAAGAAAAAGATCGTGGCTTCCTGGGACTCCCCGCCCTCTTCGGTTGGCGCTTTGCTTTTCAGTGTCTAGGTGCTATAGGGTTTAGGGTTTTGGGGGGTTTAGGGTTTAGGGTTTAGGGTTTAGGGTTTAGGGTTTAGGGTTTGGGGTTTAGGGTTTAGGGTTTAGGGTTTAGGGTTTAGGGTTTTGGGGGGTTCTGGGGCGAAGGGTCGAACGCCATTCTGGGCACCGCGCTTCGGTGTTGCGACACCCAGAGCCCCGAAAACCCAGATCCCACCAGCCCCAAACTGACAGAACACGGTCCCTCCGCTCCATGGGTCTTAGGGCTTAGGGGGGGGTTTAGGGTTTCTTTTAGGGAAGCACCCTGTCAGACCCCCCCAAAGTGCAAAACTTTTCGCCGAGCGTCGGCCCTCGTCATCAGCCGCCCCCCTTGCTTCTCAACCCACGCCTTCGACTCGTTCCACGTGCGCCGGGGGTCTCCACCGTAGGGCTGAGGAGCCTCTGCTCACAAGCACAACAACAACCCTAAGTTGGGATGCTCCCCCCTTTATACTGACAGTCCTTCATGGGGATTCTAGAAGGGGGTACCGTAATCACTATAAAGGACTGTTAGAAAAAGTTGGAACTTCCAAAACCCTAACCCCTAAGCCCTAAACTCCTAAACCCTAAACAACACACTCTCTCCCTCCCTCACAAGACAAGACTTCAAGGCTGAGGGTTTTGGGGGTGGAGACCCCCAAAAGCAAATGACGAGCACAGAGGAGTTGAGTCAGATGCCGCCCAAAGCGCATTGCTCCGGAAGACTTGGTACTTGTTCTTCTCCAGCTCCTTTCGTCAGGTTTAGGGTTCAGGGGTTTGCTGTAAGGACTCTCTTCACCAGGAGGCAGATTTCTTAAGTCAGGGTTTGGGGTTTAGAGCCTAGGGTTGCGGGTTTCACAGCCAAAAACTACACGAAACCTACATAAAACGAAGCCTAAAACCCCAAGCTCCCATAACCGGGCGGAGGTGCTTCATTTTTCTTTCCTAGGTGTGGCGGGGGACTGCTGCTTGCAACGACGGGTTTGGAAAGTTCATGTGGGCCAAATGGGTTTTGAAGCCATTGGTTTTGGGGGGGGGAGGTGGAGGGGGCGAGGGGCAGCCGCCCCCCCCCCCCCCCCCCCCCCGTTTGCAAACACGGTGCTTTGTATGACGGTTTTTCAAAGGATTCAAAATGGAGTGGGGGCGGTCCTTTGTGCTACACCAAAAGAAAAAATCCAAAACACTTACGCAGAACAGGGGACCAAGGGACCAAGGGGGCCCGCCACACCTATGAAAACGAAGGCCCGCCACACCTAGGAACAAGAGGGCCCCACCATGCCTAGGAAAAAAAACCACGAAGGGACTAAGGGACCAAGGGACCGGGGGGCCCGCCGCACCTAGGAAAAAGAAGAGGCCCGCCACACCAGTGAAAAAAGGTCCCCGCACACCTAGGAAAAAACACCGGACCCCCCGCAACCCTAAACCCTAAAGCCCTTAATCCCTAACTCCTAACCCCGAAGCCCTGTACCCCTAATCCCACCTTGCAAACCCTAGAAACCCCTCAGCCTAAGCTGAGTTCCCTCGGGCGACTCAGGGCTAAAACCAAAACCCTAAACCCCTAAACACCCTTAACCCTAAACCCTAAACCCCTAACCCCTAACTTCAAAAACCTAAATCCTCAACCCCAAATCCTAAACCCTAAACCCTAACCCTACGGTTACTCAGGCGACTAAGGGCTGGGCGCGGGTCGAGCCGATGATGGTGATCTTCTTCCAGTACAAAAGGGCCTGGGTTGGCCCGAGACCCTCTGCAAAAATGTAGGGTTTCGGGTTTGGGGTTCGAGGGTTTGGGGTTTGGGGTTTAGGGTTTAGGGTTTGGGGTTTGGGGTTTGGGGTTTAGGGTTTAGGGTTGAAGCTTCTCTTCAGCTCAATAAGGAACAAAAAAAATCAAACCAAGTGCCCACCAGCTGCTCGCTCGCCAGATCCCCAACCTTGCCTCGGACACACTGAGGGGTTTGCGAAGATAGGGGACCCCCCAATATAGATCCCCAAAATAGTCGGGTTCCCTTATAATCAGGACCCAGATAAGGTGCCCCAAATTTAGGAACCCACCCCCCCCCCCCCACTTAGAGTTTGGGGCTTCAGGGTTTCGAGTCTTGGCTCTCAGGGGTTGAGGCTTGGGGTTAGGGCACGGTGCTTTCCCTAAACCCTAAACCCTAAACCCTAAAGCCTAAACCCTAAACCCTAAACCCTAAACCGGTTCTAGGATGACATGAGGGGTGTTTGAGGGATTGGGAATTCTGATCTTGGGGGTGCGCAGGGCGTGGCGTCAGGTCTAAGATGCCTTGGGCTTGGAGCTGAGGGCTTCCGGCTCCGAGTCTTCGAGCTTCTGCTTGAGCAGCCCAACAATAACTGCATTTTGGGTTTAGGGTTTAGGGTTTAGGGTTTAGGGTTTAGGGTTTAGGGTTTAGGGTTTAGGGTTTAGGGTTTAGGGTTTAGGGTTTAGGGTTTAGGGTTTAGGGTTTAGGGTTCAGGGTTACAACCCAATTATGACCCCACTAGCGTACTTGAGGGGCTGAAATGTGGGAGAGAACTACACTTGTAATGGGGTTACTAACCTTGAACCTCCAAGTAGGGCAGAGCCCCAACGACTAGAAGCATCTGCCGACATGCGCAACCAAAAGTATGAGTTGGGGATCCTGTATCGTCGACTTGCCCGAAACCAGTAGGACCCCAGACACCTCCCAGAGCCCACGCGCGTCAAGCGTCCAGCGTTTAGGGGTTCTAGAGTTTTACTAAAAACCCTAATCTAATCGGGCTTGGGGTGTATTTTAGGGTTTAGGTTTTAGGGTTTAGGGGTTTAGGGTTTTAGGGTTTGGGGTGATTTTAGGGTTTAGGTTTTTGGGTTTGGGGTTTTAGGGCTTGGTTTGTTTTAGGGTTTTAGGGTTTAGGGTTTGGGGTTTAAGATTTCGTGTTTTGCCCGGCGTCTGGCTCACATCCATGCAAACCCGTTTTTCTGCGAGCTGTGATCGGGGGGGGTGCAGGCCAAGGGCAGGAACCCGGCCGACTGCTAACAGTTGAGACTTGCTAAGTTCGGGTTATACGGATCTTGGTGTGAGCCACGGTTTAGGGTTTAGTAAGGGTTTAGGGTTTAGGGTTTAGGGTTTAGGGTTTAGGGTTTCAGGGTTTAGGGTTTAGGGTTTAGGGTTTAGGGTTGGTGCTAAAGAGGAGAACTGAAGCGCTACACCCTACACCCACTCACCTTGATCAGAGGCGCAAAGTCTTGTCGTCGGCCCAACCTGGCCACCCCCACCTCAGCATGAAGTTTAGAGCTTGGGGTTTAGGGTTTCAGGGTTTAGGGTTTAGGGTTTAGGGTTTAGGGTTTAGGATTTAGGGTTTAGGGTTTAGGGTTTAGGGTTTAAACGAGCTGTCACGTTCTGAGGCTGTAGGGGCTTAGGGCAGAGGCCTCCCCAGGTTTCAGCCACTTGGTGCTGAGAGGGTTTGAAGGTCCAGCAAGGGGTGGAAACACCCTCAACACTGCAACCCCAAGCACCTTACACCCTCGCAAAGAAGAAGCAAAACCTTACAAAAAGACAGCACGTTCTATGTGCCCTAAACCCTAAACCCTAAACCCTAAATCCTAAACCCTAAACCCTAAACCCTAAACCTCAAACCCTAAACCCTAAACCTTATACCCTAAACCCTATCCTGACTTGGGATGCCTCCGGGGCACACAGAGTTGTGACTCTGGCCCGAGACGGCCCAGGCGGGCCTGCCGATTTGAATGTAGTCGCGCGTGCCGTCCGGCTCCAGCGTGGGCATCCACATGTCGATGCCTTGAGAGGTTTAGGGTTTAGGGTTTAGGGTTTAGGGTTTAGGGTTTAGGGTTTAGGGTTTAGGGTTTAGGGTTTAGGATTTAGGGTTTAGGGTTTAGGGTTTAGGGTTTAGGGTTTACTTGGAAATTGATGGCGTGCTTGCTTCACCATGTGTGAGTGTACTTAAAAGCGTCCTTCTCACCATATTAGGGCACTTCAGAGGCTTATAAGTGTGTTATAAGTACAGTTATACTTGGCTAGTAGCCAACATCAAGCCAGTTCGTCGTCAGCCTTAAGTTTAGGGCCAAGTCTAAGGAGTTGGAGCCTGGTTTGGGAGTTCGCTGAGGTTGCATCCCGCACATGGGTTTGTGGATCATAAGAGTCAAACGATGGCACAGAAGAACCCTCAACCCTAAACCCTCAACCCTAAACCCTAAACCCTAAACACCAAACCAGATCAGAGGGGGCCAGCCGGATCCCAAAGGTGATTGGATTCTCTGGTGCTGCATTTGGGGGCTTTCCATGTTATCTTCGCGCCATTTTGAAAAAGCACTAGTAGGTGGGGGGCTTAACCTAACCTTATACCCTAAACCCTATAACTCTTTGCTAGATGTGCTCTTGCGCACACAGCCTTCAACAAGCTCCAGTAGTGGCTTACCAAGAACGGTGAAATTTCAGCTCTTCATGGCTCATATGGTGTCTTGCTCAACCTATGGGGGTCAGCACTCTTACCATGGAAACAAAGCAATGTTCGTAATGAGATTCCTGGCTCTTCCAGCATCTGAGAAGAGCAATCGGCATCAACAGGCCCACCGCCCCCCCCCACTGTCAACCCTAAACCCTAAACCCTAAACCTTAGACCCTATTCTTTGGAGTACTGTCGCACTGATAGCCCGAATACGGGCCTGCTAAGCCTTCGAAAGCTGGTAAGAAGAGAACACGACTTTCCTGCACGCCTCGTGGCCGCGCCTATGCGCCACCCTTATAAGTTCAGCCTGTTCGAACCCTGTAACTCAAAACCCAGAACCCTACACCCTAAACCGTAAACCCTAAACCCTATAACCCTATAACAATGTAAGCCTATAACCCTAAACCCTATAACAATATAAGCCTATAAGCCTCTAACCCTATAACCCTAAACCCTATAACCCTGTAACCCTATAACCCTATAACCCTAAACCCTAAACCCTAACTGTTGAAGCCTACTCCTGTACATGTCATCCTGTAGCAGTTGCACCATGCAGTTTTCCGTTTGCTTTCTAGGCCCAAAGCCTTGAGCATGAAACATTCTAAATATGTACAGCATTTCACAGAGTAGGTGCCAAACCCTACAAAGTAGTTATACCTTTGTGGTCTTTCGCTGTCTTGTTTGCTTGCGTGTAAAAAGCTCCGCGCTTAGTTTGAGTCCTTGCAATGGCTGATTTCAGAGGGGAAGTCATGAATCCACTTCTGTCTTCTATGCCTGCTGGGGCTCAACCTCAGCAGGTTATGAGCCCAACGCTTGGGCAGGGCTACGGCACCAATCCACCGCATCCATCTCCACCTCCCGGAGGGGATGGTTTGCAGCACTCAGGTTCAATGCCACCACGTGAATCAGGCCAGTCAGGTGCAGTGGGCCTTGAACCTAATACGGCTACGGGAGGGGCATTGGGAGGTACAGGCCAGCATGAATCATCGCGAGGTTCAGGGGAAGTGCCACCAATGTCGACCACCAGTGAGGGTGGTGAGAGCGCACACCAAATTGTGCATGTGCCCGGCACAACACCGGGCGGGAGCCCAGGTCTGCAGGCCAGCACTGGCATGCCAGGTACCGCGAGCGGTGAAGCAGTGCCAGGGGGAGCAGTCGCTGGAGACTCCCATGTTGAGGGGTTCCTTACCCCGCGCTCCCAGCAAGGACAGGGTTTGCCCACTATTGCAGAAATGGTTGAGGGTTTCCCTGGGGCTGGGCTCCAGCTCATGTCAAGGGTTGGGGATTTTTTCAGAGTTGCCCGCACTGAGGTCATGCAGGTCCCGGTGTGGCAGGACTCACACGCAACGCCACCACGAAGTGCTACCCGTTCCATGGGTAGTCCGGGGGGTGCACCAGGGCAGTTGGCTTTGGGAGATGGGAGTTTGGGTTCTGCTAGTGGGTCGTTGCCGCAAGTGGGGCCACAAGGAACGCCAACATCCTTTGCACCACCGCACCCCGGAAGGGAGGGCCCGCTCCTGAACGCCGACATGCTGCAGCGCATGCAAGTTTTGGAACGTAGGGCTCCCCTATTGTACGGTAACATGCCTGATAGGCCCCATTCCCGTTCAGACTCAACCTCCTTGCCCCAGGACGCAATTCAAGCGGAGGTTGCTAGGCAGTTGGCGGGGTTTGATCAAAGGGCTCAGGCTCAGGAGTTGAGAAATCAGGCCCAGGACCTTGAGATCCAGCGTTTGAGGAGGCAACTTGAGGAGGAGAAGGCTATGAGGGAGCAGTTGGCGAGGGAGGCGGCAGCTTAGATCTGTGCTCCGCAGGCCCCGCCGCAAATGCAGGTCCCCATACCCCTCCAGGTGCCATCATCGCAAGATGCTCAGGTCCACACTTCCTCTGCGCATCAGGTGCAGGATGTTGCAGCGCCGGCGGTTGGTGCTTTGAGAGCGCCCGCTCAAGCTGCAGCAGCAGCCGCGTCAGGGTTTTGGTCCAACTTCTGGTCAGGGTTGCAGGGTTCCCATAGGTTGCCCAGCAGTGCAACCCCGCCCGGAGGGGTCGGGCAGTCCTACGACGCAGCACAGGTGAATTTGGCTTGTTCTGCTCCAAACCCCCCTTCTCAGGCCGAAAACCTGGGTCTGGGCCAGATCTGGCCTCAAGGCTCAGGAATGCCACAGGTGCCACAAGTGCAAGGTACACAGGTGCCCGCATCTCCACCCGGAGGGGTTGGACCCGCTGCCTATGCACAGGTGCCACAGGTGCAAGGTACACAGGTGCCCGCATCTCCACCCGGAGGGGTTGGGCCCGCTGCATGTGCACAGGTGCCACAGGTTTCAGACGCAGGTACACAGGTGCCGCATGCTCAGGTATCAGGTGCCCAAGCCAGTGCAGCTCCAGGAGGAGCGTCTGCAGCAAGCGCAGCGCCCTCCTCGGGCAATCCCATGATGGATGCCTTGTTTGCAGGAATGCAGCAGCTTCAAACCATGCAGGCGCAGGGCATGCGGGATAAGAGTGTTGTTAGCAACGCCCCTGAAGCCGTCAAGCCAGGCGCTACTGCACTTCCCATGCTGAAAGCTCCTGATCCGATGAGTGGTTCGTTGGATTTTCAGGATTGGTTGGAGTTAGTTGCAGGGTTGATGGGTGATTTGTCCGATTCCTCGCATGATTGGTGGACCGCAGTGCTGCAGGTGAGCCGTGACGCATATGAAAGGTGGGTGAAGGCTACTCCGCTCGATCGCATCAGGGTAGAGGTTGACGAGCGCCCGGAGCTGGTGGAGGGAAAGTGGTCCAGGGTCAACGCACGTGCGTGCGCCATGATTTTAGCAGCCCTAGATCAAGGGGTAAAAGCGGAAATGGTAGCTCGCAGGACCACTCAAGTAGCCACTCAAATCATGTTTCGGCTTTACACGTTGTATCAGCCTGGAGGTTCCACGGAAAAGGCATTGGTGTTGAATCACCTGCAAAATCCCAATGTTGTTCAGGATGTGGTGTCAGGTGTGTCCGCGCTGAGGGCATGGGGTAGGTGGCACAAGCGCTGCATTGACTGCGGTATGGTAGCCCCAGATCCTACAGTTCTTGCCGGTGCCCTCACCGAAATGACCAGCCATATCCTAAGCCAAAACCCGGACCCCATGTTCCGAACTCAGATGGTTCGCAGCATGCTGCACATCGAGACTCACCCTTCGGAAGATGCGGTTCAGGAGTATTACAAGCACTTGTTAGCCGAGTTTGAAACCATGGCTGGAGCACAGATTGCCACACAGGGTGGGTCAGGCAACAATGTCGCTTTGAAGGCCATGGACGCTACGGGGGGTAAGTCGGGGGGCAAGGGGGGTGAAACTTAGGGTGGGGGGAAGGGTAAGCCGTGCAAGTACTTTCTTACGCCTAAGGGGTGCAAGTTCGGTGCGAAATGCAAGGCTCCTCACTCCATGAGCGACCTGCCAGCGGCTGAAAGGTTTAAGAAGTGCCTAAATTGTGGCTCTGAGGACCATCGCGTCAAAGATTGTAAGGCTGGAAAGGCCGAGCCAGCGGCACCGGAACAGAAGCCGTCAGTCCAGGCAGCCTCCACCTCCACGTCATCCTCCGCGCCACCCGTTGTCCAGGCCACGCCTGTTCTGTCCATGGATTCCTTCCTTCAGCACGCATCCCACGCCTTGAGGCAGCTTGAAGCTGCGCATGCCACTCATGGGCAACAGCCGTCGCAGGGTCCAGTATCCACAGTGCCTGCTCCAGCGGCCCCCACTCCTGACGGAGATGGTGTGCAGCAGCCTTCAAATCCATCCCTCCAGAAGCTCACCATTTGCTCAAGCATGCCAGCTAGTTGCCTTCCAAATGACCCACAAGCAAACCCCCCTTCTCGAGCCGAGATCGAGGGGTTGCCCGGTGCCCAAGCTGTGGAGTCCGAGCCACCTTTCATTGGACATGCCCTTCTAGACTCAGGGGCCACGCACCCTTTACGGCCAGCATCGTCGCAGGTGGAGTGGGTCAAGACAAACAAGGTGCAGGTTGGTTTAGCAGGGGGCCACACATCACACATGCGCATCACTAAGCATGGGGTGATACTCACGCCTCCCGGGAGGGATGAGCTGCCGACTGCAATTGTGCCCCTAGGACAGCTTGTCGCGCGGCTGGGGTACATATTGAGTTGGACAGCTGATGAGTGTTTCTTGCGTTCCCCTGAAGGTGAGCTCACCACGTTGATGGTTCAGAACGGTTGCCCTGTGATTGAGCATGATAGGGCGTTGACGCTAATCGCTGAGTTGGAGGCTCAGCGTGAAAACGCACGCAGCACGTTTGCAAACCGCGCTGCAAACGAGGTCTCTTCAACCCTCGTCATAGCCAAAGCACTTCAGGCCTTTGGCTTGCCCCTTAGAGGGCAGGATGAGCACGTAAGTCCAAGTCTGAAACAAGGGTGGGGACATGGAATAAGTGCCCAAATGACCGCGCCCATTTGGCCAGGGCAAACCCCCCTTTTGGAGCCAAAAAAGGGGGTTTGTGGGACCCAAGTTTTGGATCCCAAAGTGTGCCTGCAGCAGTCCTCAACCGTTTGGTTCAGGTTGGACGCCGACGATGAGTGTGACGACAACCCCACACGATACCAGCTTGATGGTGATGGGGATTCAAGCGTCTATGATTTGGACTGGACTCGTCTGCCACTCTCGCCGCTCGGAAGAGATGGGCCTGCACAGGTGCCAGGTCCACTGCCGTGTTGTCCGGGCAGGTTTAGTTTAGATGGTTTTGGTGGGTTTTGCGTGTTTGGGCTGCGTGAGGTCCAGCCAACAAACTGCCAGGACCTCACCACCAGGCCAGGAGGAGAGCATGAAACCACAGTGCCCAGCAGTGTTGCAGTTCCAGCAACCTCCCCCCGGGAGGGCGGGACCTGCAACGCACGCCAACGTCTGACGGCAAACCTCCTTTTTCAGCTGCAGCTGTTATTGTGTCTGTTTTTGCTTGGCATGCGTGGCACTGTGTTTACACCGTGCTCTGGTGTCCGGAACCCACCCGCAGCAGCTACAGGCACTCCAGTACCGTACTGGATTGAGGAGGAGCCGTGCGTTAGGTTGTGGGGTTTGAGCGCTGTCGTGCCGGAGCCTCCTGTCCAGGAGGAGTCCCAACAACCCCTTGCAGAAAAAGCTGTGCGTTTAGCTTCAGCTGCAGATGGCCTTGTGACCGCAGTTTGTTGGGGCATGCCTGGGTTTTACCTGGTTCACAAGCGTGATCATCCTGTTTGTGCGATATTCATGCTGCTTGTCTTTTTGCAAGTCATAGGCGCCGCTAGCCAGCAGGATGAAGAGCCGGAAGACCTGTCGCTCCCAGTTCCCTTGGACGCCGACCTGATGCTTGCAGTGTGCATTTTCGGTGTTGCGTTTTGTGCCATTGTTTTGTGGGAGTTTCTGAAGTGGAGTTTTGCCTTCTTGTCCCGCAGGACCTTCGGCATGAGCAGTGTGTCGCTAAGCCCGCGAAAGGCACGCAAGTTGCAGCGTCTCAGGGACCGCACGGAGCAAGTCCGGGCAGAAATCTCTGAGAGAGAGGCAGCGGCCAGTTCCTCACAGCATCTTGCGACCGCTTCCGGGAGGAACGCGCCAGCTTCCACTAGGCAGGCCGATGAAGCACCAACTCGTTTCTTTGCAACGCCAGAGGGCAACGCGCTTCATCGCACCAAGGCCTGTCCCACACTTGCCCGTTCACACAAGTTTGTTGTGTTTGAGGTCTGCCGGCAGTGCCACAGGAGCCAGGCAGACTGCACGCAGCATAGCACACGTTAGGGCATCCGCCGCCCTGACGGGTAGGTTGCGCGCCCCATTGCGCAGGCCTGCCAGCAGTGCTTTCCTTTTGCAAAGAGGTGCCGTGAGAGCCCTCGCACTCTGAGGCCAGCCGGCCAGCTACAGCCTTTCCTTCGGTAGGAGCTCGTACCTCCTCCCGGAAGGGATGGACATGTACAGGTTTTGTTTGTCGCAATACCCTAGCGGTGTTGCGAAGGAGGAGTGTTGAAGCCTACTCCTGTACATGTCATCCTGTAGCAGTTGCACCATGCAGTTTTCCGTTTGCTTTCTAGGCCCAAAGCCTTGAGCATGAAACATTCTAAATATGTACAGCATTTCACAGAGTAGGTGCCAAACCCTACAAAGTAGTTATACCTTTGTGGTCTTTCGCTGTCTTGTTTGCTTGCGTGTAAAAAGCTCCGCGCTTAGTTTGAGTCCTTGCAATGGCTGATTTCAGAGGGGAAGTCATGAATCCACTTCTGTCTTCTATGCCTGCTGGGGCTCAACCTCAGCACTAACCCTAAACCCTAAACCCTAACCCTCAAACCTAAACCCTAAACCCTTAACGCGAAATCGGACCCGGCGCCGCGGTCTGCGAAGAAGAAGGGGTTTTCAATGATCCAGTTCCAGGCTTCCTCGGGTTTAGGGTTTCGGGTTTAGGGTTTAGGGCTTAGGGCTTAGGGTTTAGGGTTTAGGGTTTAGGGTTTAGGGTTTAGGGTTTAGGGTTTAGGGTTTAGGGTTCAGGGTTCAGGGTTTAGGCTGGCTCAGGGTGGCATGTAAGAAGATCGCAACGAACTCTCTAAACCAGTGGTTTGGGTGGGCCTTGCGACGTTCCCACCCCCCACCCCCCTCCCCCGCCCGCAAAGCCCCTAAAGCGCAAACCCGAAAAACCCTAAACCTCAAAACCTCCCCCCCCTAAAAAGAAAAAATGCCTCACCGAAACCTGCGCAGCCAGGCTGTTATTGCCCTCCAAGTGCTGCTTCGGCGCTGCGAAAGTTACCAGATGCCCGCCCTGGTCCTCCGCCCATTTCTTCTCTTCGTCGAAGGTCCTCTTGTCCTAAGAATCACAAGGGTATTGGGGCTTTGGAATTAGAGCTCAGGGCTTCGGATGTAGGGCCAAGGTTTCTCTGAGGCCTGTGCTCGGTGCGCAGCATTTCCGGGTGAAGGTTGGGGCAACAAACCAGGGTTGAAAATCCTCATCGTAGCGAACAACACCGAGGAGCGCGGCAAACCTACGCGCGACCACGGCCCTAAACCCTTACCCTAAACCCCGCCCACATGTTACGCACGCAGCCTCTCTTCAGCCAGGAGGCGTTTGCACTGTAGATGAGGAATTCCATCTTCCAGACATCCTCACGTGGGCTGGGTTTAAAGCTCTTTGAATGCGCTGCCCTCAGGTCTCGCGTTCCGGGGTTACGACCTGACTGGCGTGGAGCAGTCTAGGAGCCGAAATTCACAACCCTAAACCGTAAACCTAAAACCGAGGGCCCTACACCCTAGGCCAAGGCCTCAACAGCTCACAACAGATTGAAAGCCCCACAATCTGCAAGCAAACAAGGCACTAAGCCCTAAACCCCTCAACCCCTAACCCCTGACACCCCCAAAAAAACCTAAAACCTTGAAACCCTCTGAAACGCTTCGAATACTGGAAACCCCTAAAAACCCCTAAAACCCTAGAAGACCCTAAAAGCCGCTGAAACCCCTAAAACTCCTAAAACCCCTTAACCCCAAAAACCCCTTAAAACCCCTCAAAAAAACAAACTGAAAAACCCTTAAAAAATCCTATAACCCCTAAACGCTGGCAAGGCAACTGTCGGCTTGCGCTCGTAGAGCGGCTTGGCTTCGGCGAGCCAGGACTTGCCTGGAGGGATTTAGGGTTTAGGGTTTAGGGTTTAGGGTTGAGGTTTTTCAGTCGTTTGGGGGTTCTAGGCGATCAGGGACGCCGATGTTCATGGTTCAGGCCGACCTTCTTTTCTAGGGGCCCAGAAAACCACGTAAACATAAGGCTCCTACTCTTGGACTATTAGGGGCCCCAAAAAAGGGGGATTCCGAAAACCCTGTTTGTAGGATGCTCTTGTTCATGTGGTGTTTTGGGCCCCCCTATTCTCAGAAAAGCTGCCCACCCTCAGAGGTCAGGTTCTCAAGGCCTCAAGAGCCTGTAAAACACTGAAATCTTGGGTTTAGGGTTTAGGGATGTTCCCCCGAATACGAACAGTTCCTTTGTAGGATTCTAGTACCCCCTACCATGATCCCTATTAAGGACTGTTCGTAGATTTTGGCCGCGTGGGCGTCGTCTCCGAGGATCCTTTTCAGGTCTCCGTTGACATGTACGTGGCGTGGGCCTCAAGCACCTCGACCAGGCTTGTCTCGCCGTCGTGTTAGGTTGTGGTCATGAAAGACTGGCGCAGTGGCCGTGCGAATCTCAACATCGTTCCAGCATGAGCTCGAATGCATGCAAGCTAGTCTTGTACTGGCGTATTAAATCGTGCAGCGCCTGAGCCAAGGTAACCACTGCTTTTGAAACAAGGAACGCACAGTGTTGGGGTATAATACACGCGACCGGACATGAGTCAACCATGCGGGCAGGTGACAAGGAAGACCAAAAAAATGCGCAACATGTAGGATCGACAACAACTGAGCCCGGCAGGATTCTGATCTGCTGACGTGCCGCGCGTCCCTAATCTGCGCAGTTGAGAGTTGAGAGTGAAGGGGTTCAGTCCTAAACACCCCCTCCCTCCCGAAAGCCCGATCCTGAAGGCGGTCCAGCAGGGACACCCTCAGAAATCGGCTCCTCCGAGGGGTCGAGGGTGCAGGGTCAACAGGATGTAGGCTTCAGAGTCGAGGCTCAAGTTGCCCTCCAAAACCCAAAGCATTGCACCCAAGCCCCGAAGCCATCTCGCTACTTTCATTTTTGAGGGGCATACCCCACCCCCAAGCCCTGAAGCCAACATCGGTCTGTTGATTGTTGAGGGGCATTGAGGACCTTTAAGTGAGGGTTGGGGACGGAACCTTCGGAGGGCTTGCAGCTAGGAGCTGGGATTCCTGAACTCTGCAGCCTGAACCCTAAAGGCCGCGGCTTCACTTTGCGTGCAGGTCGACTGCAAATGAGGCGGCTGCAGTCAGCCTGAACAGTACTAAGTGCTAAGTCACTATGTGATGTGCGCTATGTATCATGCGGTTTTGACAAAATATGCTGGACATAGCCTACTGTAAAGTGTTTACATAATTGCATCCTCGAGAAGGGCAGGCCGCCCACCTCGCGTAGGCTTGTTGGACCCACGCTCTCCGACATCTTTGGCTAACCCGGTAGGGTTTTGAAGCTTAGGGATTGTGCAGGAACTCCCAAACCCTAAATTTGTACCCCGAACCGCGGTTTAGGGTTTCGGGTCGGCTCCTTCATCTCCATGCAATGCACCTTGCCGCTGTCCAGCTGGTTCACCTCACCTCAGCACAGGGCGAGCCAAGCGAACTCGGCTCTGGCGCAAAAAGCGGCCACCCGAACCGCCCTGTACCCCAAGAGCTTCAAAGCCCCCTAAGCCCCATTTTGAATCATTCTTGGGTATATTTTCATATTCTGTATCAATTACAGCCAGAATTCTGTGCACGGAGAGCTCCATGCGATTGAAGAAGTAGAGTTCCTGCTCCCGGCGCTCCTCGATTTTGTTGAAGCCGTTGGAGGCCACCTTCCGAGCAAGCAACCTAAGAAATCCCGAAACCCCCAACCTCTCGCCATGAAATGCCCCCACGAATACGCGCTCAACTCTACAGGGCACGTCATCAGGGTGCAGGGGCTGTGGGCGTGTGCATGTTGGTGGCACACGACATTCTTCTTTGGTCTGCACACAAACACGCCGCTCTTGCAACGGAAAGCCTGGACGCACTCGAAGCAGTTGAAGCTCCCAAGCCCGGGCTCGTCAGCTGAGCTGAACCAATTCCTGCGCACCATGACCAGGGTACGTGTAGAAGTTGATCTCGGCCCTAAACCCTAAACCCTTTTTGCCTCAACCCTAAACCAAAAACCCCTCACCCGTACTGGACAGGCAAGCGGCCCGTTGACGCAGGTCAGCACTTCCTCGCTGGTGCCCTGGCCTTAGCAGCGATCGGCGAATCGAGCTTGGGGGCGGGGGGTTTTTTAGGGTTTGGGGAGAGCCTGTCAACAGGTACTGGCATATTCTCTGGTTTCAGAGCGACCTGCTCCAGAAGAGCATGGCCAAAGAAAAAGGTGGGGCATGGCACAGCTGAAGGCTTCAAAAACAGTCAAGGACTAGTCCTTACATCATATAGGTCCTGATAATCTGATATAGGTTTAGGGTTTCACATGCCTAAACTCATCAGCCTGAGCCCGGCAACCCGGCTTGGTGGGTGGTTGGTGGGTGGGGCTGGGCAGAACAAGTAGCAGCCGCCGCCGAGAAAGCCGGCGGCGTTGAAGGCTTGGGGGTTTCCGGCATCAAGAACATGTGGTCGGATCTCCAAAGTACGAAGAATATCTTGGGCAGCATCATAAAAGGGATGTGGAGGCTGTTAGTTGTCATGGGGCAAGGCCTGTAGAAGGCAGGGCCCATTGCAGGCGCTCGATTGCAGCATATCCCTACCGTCTACCGTGTAGTGCGTTGGGCCCCGGAAAGTAGAGCAACCCATGGCGCAGCCTTCGGCCGCCACTTCGGCCGCCACTTCGGCCCCGTTGCAGACAACCAGTAAGACCCAAACCCTGGACCCTCAAGGCCATAGAATGCAGCGAAGGGGGCTACCTCGCACGGCGGAATAGCGCTCGTTCCAGCATGACACCTGGCCAGCTCTCTTTGTGTCAGGGCCCCTTCTCGGCGGGGTTTAGACTGTAGGGTTTCGGGCTGAAGGTCCAGGGCCAATTATAACTGCACTCATAACCCACTTCCAAGCCCCTTAAGTGCCGTAATATAGTTCTAATTTGGGTTATAAGCACAGCTATCATTGGCTAAGAAATACGATGAAGCTCCAAGTAGGCTTGAGGGCTCCTCTTGCGTCAGGTTCGGACGCCCCAAAGGTTGGAGCTGGCCTTGAGCGTGTTTCCGTGCTCGAAGCTTGCCGGGAGCTTCTTCTTGTGGCGCCAGTCTCCGTAATCGGGCGGTCGATAGGTGGGCCTGCATCAAACAGACAAAAAAACAGACAAACAGACGAGACAGACGGACGGACAGACAGAAAGAGAGCTTCAGACAGGCTGCGGATCCGGAATACAACCCTAATCAGAGTACAGGCTGTTTCTACGTTTCTAGCTCACAATGAGATGCCAGCAGATGCAGCTGCTGTGATGACAGCCGACATGCTTGCTCCTCCCTGACGTCTACCTCCCTCCGTCGATGTCTGATGCAGCGGCCTTCCACATGCAGAGATGCCAGCACCTCCCAGCAAAAGCATCATGTCCTTGCAGAGGGCGCGACGATGCATCTCCAAGCTACGCACAAGAAGATCAGCAGAACCAAGACTGAGACAAGCTTCGCATTGCGCATGAAGGTCCCAGAAGAAGAAGGTCGCAGGAGCCACCTCGGAAGATTCTGCTTTTGGGTTCAGGGCTTCGGCCGCCAAGGAGAACTGCAGGATTCTGCTGCCTGGCCACACTGGTCAGATACTGTCTCCGCATGGACACGGTGAAGCACCTGGCAACAAGGGAACAAGTCGAAGCCCCACCACGTGCTTAAAAGCACATCGGGGCGGCTCACAACGGCAAGCGCTTTTGTTGAGCCTCCAGTAAAGCATATTCCTGATACCTTTAGGGCATCCAAATCTCTTTTTCTGTGAATTTGATATGAAATCTACAGGCCTAATAATAAAACCAATAGAACTCCTAAAACCCCAAATAAATGCACACTACTGATGGCTTTCTTTATTCTATTTTGCTTTTAATAGAAATCTTTTTGGACTTTTAGTAATTAAAGTTCGAGGACCTTCTAGTAATTCATAAACTGACCCTGTATTTTACTTGCGAGTTTATGAAATTCAATCGCTTACAAACTATTAACTATTATGTGATTCGCTTGACCATAAAGTCAAAAATATGAAGGAGAAGAAGAAGAAGAAGAAGAACGTAAAGGCGAAGAGAACACTAAAGGGCCAACTATTTCTATTTTGAGGACACGCATGAATGTATTCATTTGCCCTTAAGCGAACGAAACCAGCTATTTACTTTCATAATCTTGTTCGCGGGCCAAAAGACGTCTTTTACAATGTGCCCGCGTGTTCGTTCAGATTTTCACTCACACAACTACTGCAGTGACAAAATCTACAGCATCTCTCCACTGCCTTCTTTCAGGGCGCCCAGTTGCCCCCCCGATTGCCGTCCGCACGCGGCAAAAGAACTGGGCCCGCGGCTCCTGAGGATTTGCGACGACGCATCCTGCGGCCCACACTTCCCAGCACACCCCTCACAAGAGTCACCCGACCGAAAGTCTTGGGTTTCAGGATGCCCCTAAACCCTAAACCCCTAAACCCTGAACCCTAAAACCCCTAAAACCTAAACCCTCAAACCCCTAAACCCCTAAACCCCTAAACCCCTAAACCCCTACACCCCCAAACGTCCTGGCGCCCGGGGCATGGCTGTCAGCTCGCCCTCCAAGCCAATCTCCCGCACGAGGCTGTCGCAGGACGAGTAGAGCCGGCCTGACCCCCACGCAGAGGCGATAAGGCTTTGGGGTTTTTGGGTTTAGGGTTTCGGGTTTCGGGGTAAACCCTAAACCCTAAACCCTAAACCCTAAACCCTAAACCCTAAACCCTAAACCCTAAACCCTAAACCAAACCCTAAAGCTCCCAAAGCCCTTAGGTAGGGATATCTCCCTTCTTCGAACCGAGGCACAGGACGTCGCCGACCTGGCACCAGGCATGGGGAAGGCATCAAGAGCGAACTTGTAGGGTTCTGGGTTTAGGGTTTAGGGTTTAAGGTTTAGGGTTTTAGGGTTTAAGGTTAAGGGACGCAAGGGTTTAGGGGGGTTCAGGGTCTAGGTGTTTAGGGACGCAAGGGACACAGGGGGTTGTCAAAAATGTGGGCATTTCAGGAGACCAAGAAAAGACAGGGATTGCCTGCAATCACGAAAGCCACTCTGAGCGAGCTTTGCTATCAACCCTAAACTAACCCTAAACCCTACACCGCTCGATTCAAAGAATTTACAGCCAGATCACTGCTCTGCGTTCTGCTCCTCTCATGCCGAAATCGTTTCTGGAGTTTTCTAAGTTGGCACCCCGTTGGCTATAACTAAAGCAGGGCGAAAAGCAGGATTTCAGCCTTGGCCTAACGCGGTGGAAATCGCTTTGGGTGAGATTTCTGGCCAAGACAGTTGTCTCTACTAACACCCGATTGAAACATGCCATATACTATCACGCTCCGCGGTACCAGAAAGTTCCCGCAGTTCAGCTCAACCCCTATATAAGGGGTTTTCGGGCCTCGAAGCCTGCAAACCCTAAACTCTGAAGCCTGTAAACCCTAGAACCCTGAACCCTGAACCTTGTGAACCCTAAACCCTTCAAGCCACATGCTTCAACCCCTTAGCTGGGGTAGGTTTGGGGGCCCTAAGAAAAGCCAGCTTTCCAAGGATTGATATAGGGATTAAGGTAAGAAAGAGAGAGAGAGAGAGAGAGAGAGAGAGAGAGAGAGAGAGATAAAAACAAAACTGTGTTCAAACCTACCCTGTTAGGGCCCCAAGGCGGCGCCGCCGAGCGGCGACTGCGTTCCGTGCCAGAAGAAGTTGCAGTCGTCGTGGTTCTTGCACTTGGCCTGGGGGAGGGAGGTGGGCGGGCGGCGCGGGGGGGGGGGCGGGGGTGGCCTAAGGACTCGGATTTTCGGAGAGGGGCGTGAGCTGAAATATGCAGACGAATATGCAAAAGCAAACTGAGGCTTGCTTCCGAAAGCGCCCGTTTTTTTTGACAACCCCCGAAAGACACCGGGAGGCCTCGCAGACCTCGTACTCCATCGACTCCGCCTCGGTCTCGAAGTAGACGCCCGGGTTCGGCAGGAGGTTGCGGTTCGGGCACACAAACCTCTACTCCCCTTAGAACCTTAATAAAGATGATATGTTTAATATCCTCTTGGGTTTTATGTAAACAAAAATGAAAAATGATTCCAAAGGGTGATTTTGAAACTCCCCGTTGACCAGCATTAGCGGAGGGGGAATGTAGGTGGCCGTCTCGGCGTCCCCGGTCATCTCCTTGCAAGTCACACGGAAAGGCTTTCGGTTGAGTTTAAGGGTCTGGGGCCTTTGGGGCTTTTGGGTTTGGGTCTTTAAGGCACAAAAGATCCCCGCATCTGCTTGTGAGTGGGCAAAAAAAGAGGAAGGACACCAGAATAAGGATTCCAGAGCTTCCGGGGAGGGTTGGAACTTGCAGGCGAACGCCATCAGATCACCCACAGGAGGTTTCTCGGCCCGGAATCCCGGCTTTTTCCCAAGAACCCACGGCGAAGCCCCCGAAACCCGAAACCCGCAACCCTCCTTGGCCAAACCCTAAACCCTAAACCCTAAACCCAAAGCCCTCTGAACCCTAAACTTGGGAGGCGCCGGCCCTCAACCCCTCCAAGGCCCCAAGGAGCCAAGCGGCATAGGTCACCGGATCGACGGGCATGTCCGCGCCCCATGCCGCCGACGCACACCTAGGGGCTTTGGGGGGGTTGGGGTTGAAGTTTTTTGGGGTTTTGGGGTTTAGGGTTGAGGGGATTAGGGTTTAGGGCTTAGGGTTTCGGGTTTCAGGTTTAAGTTTTCGGGTCTAGGCTTTAAGATCTTGTCCCTTGGGTTTAGTACATCTACAAACCTTTCAACCAGCTCAACAGGCCCAAGTCCTAACACCATGCAGCACCTGCAGCCCACCGAAGCCATCAGGAGGCCCTACGCTTGTAAACCCGGCAGCCGCCAAAAGTCCTAAAACCCCCCGAAAAGAAAACACAAAAACTAGAGAACGGTTGTCCCGAAAGCATTTTCGAGCCACGATAAAGACCTCGCATCATCACGCAATCCATACATGCATCATCCATCGCGACATCCATCCAAGGCATCAACGATAATGAAGAACCTTCGCGAAGACCACCCGCCATCCATCACGACATCCATCACGACATCCATCGAAGAAGCTTCACGACACCCAAAGAACACGTAGAGTGTTGGCGTTCACCCGATCACGACAGCCCGCGAACATGCCGAGGGTCGTCGTTGTTGCGTCTCGACAACGCAAAAACGCGCAGTTTTTGCGTCTGGACAACGCCAAAACACGCAGACTGTCGTTCGCACGATCACGACATGCCGGGCAAGGGTCATCGTTTTTGCATGTCGACAGGGCCAAAAACACGCAGAGGGTTGTCGTCTGCGCGATCATGACACGCCGGGCCCATGCGGAGGGTCCTCGTTTTTGCATTTCGACAACGCAAAAACACGCAGAGGGTTGTCGTTCGCGCGATCACGAAACCGGGAACATGCAGAGGTTCCTCCTTTTTGCGTTTCGACAACGCCAAAACATGCAGAGGGTTGTCGTTCATGCGAGCACGACACCCCCGTGCACACGCAAGAGGGTCCTCGTTTTTGCGTTTAGACAACGCGAAAACACGCAGAGGGTTAGCGTTGTTGCACTTTTTTAGCCAAGTGCGGCGGAAACATCTTTTTTTCAGGAGGAAAACCCACGAAATTCATCGCGCCATCCATCCGGGCATCATCCATCACGCCATCCGCTTTACGACCACTCTTTAACGACAACAACCTCCGCTGAAACACCATCCGCCATGCTTTCGCGAGAAAAAAAACGAGAGCCCTCCTTATTCCCTAAGGCCCTAGATGCCCTGAATCCCACAGTCAAGCCCAAGGCTCGCACACGCTTAACGCCCGTGTAATGGGTGTAACAGAACTGATGTGGAAGCTTAAACGCAAGGTTGCTCTTGCTTCTAAAACGGAAAGAAGAAAAGGACGCAAAAACAGCCTTAAAAGCCCGAAAAAACTCAAAACCTACCCTAAACCCTAAACCCTAAACCCTAAACCCTAAACCCTAAACCCTAAACCCTAAACCCTAAACCCCAAGCCTTGAAGACCTGCATCAGCTTGGCTCAGTGCTCTTTGCCGCCGCAGGCACTCGCAAGGGTGGAGCCAGAAGTCCGCCCCGGCAGGCGTGGCCGGGTCGTCGAGGATGATCTTCTGCACCTTCACCTCCTCCTCCTCTCAGGGATGGTTGCTGCTTCAGTCTCTACTCCTCTTAAGAACCTCAATAAACACACTATGGTGAATATTACCTTCGGTTTTAGATAGGTAGAAATACAAACAAATTCCTAAGGGGGCTAGATCCAATTAGGATGATGACCATTATGACTACTACTATTCCTATTGCTATGATTTCTCATTCGTATGATTCCGACGACGGTTTCTTCTGGCAGTTTGCAGCTGTGTATATTCAGGATAGAGAACTTCTTCGGATGTTCCCCCTTAAACTAACAGCCCTTAATGGGGATTACAGTACCCCCCCATTAGAGTCCCTATTAAGGACTGCTAGTATTCGGGGAACATCCCAAAGAAACAACCCGCCATCAGAAGAATCGGGAGAAATTTCCCACGATTCCCCTACCCGACACCTTGCCAATGTGTGAGCCATCCTTCTCTTCAGGTTCTATCGCGCAACTCTCTGCGGTGGAAGCTCCAAGGGATACTCGGCGCTGGTCGCTCTGTGGGGTGTCTCTTGCTCTCTGCGGCATTCGCAGGGAAAGCATCGCGCGATGCATTCGGCGGGACTCTTCGTGAAATTCTCCGGGGGGCGCTGCGGGGACACTCGGCAGGATTTCTGGGATTCTCTGAGAGTGGGGACTTCAGCATGATGGCGGGATTCTCCGTGGACTTCGCACTACCGGGATCCTCGGCGGGACTCTCCGTGTGCTTCACTCAGACCAGGCCAGGAGAGCGGGCGGAACACCAAAGGAGAAGACGAGGAAAATGGCTGACTTAATCTACCAGCCCCACACCGAGGGGACAAAGAGAACAAAAACAGGTCGTGAATGCTAACCAAACCAAGGATGACTGAAAATGCTAGTCAGGCTGGTCCAACAAAAGACCCGATGGCTTTGATGAAGATCGATATGGACTTTGAGACCATCAAGCCCAAGAGGCTCCGGGCTTCAGGTGCGAGGGCCTATAGGGCCTATAGGGCTTAGGGATGTCTAGGGGTCTGGTATATTAGACTTGTCGAAAAAGGAATCAGGGTAGAGGGCTTATAGGGCGATGATAGAGAGCCAGCCCGTAAGGGGGAGCCCCCAAGTTGCGGTCCGTAACGTTCTCCGGCGGGCCACATGGCAGCGTGGCGAAGAGGACCTGATGCTCATCTTATTCCGGCCAGCAGGGAACCGACGTACTTCTAGTCCGCAAGTCTGTTGCAGCAATAACAAACATCAGAACATCATAAAGACACCGATCATCGTGCCGCATTCAATTCCTCCATTCTTTACGAACCCACCAGCATACACAAAGGGCTTTCCAGGCGGTTCAGTTGAGGGCAACAGCGCTTCAGGCTTTAGACTAGAGAGCCTAGGACAGTCCGCATGGGATAAGAGCCCCAAACCCCACAAACCCCAGAACGCCCGAGCCCTAAGAGCCCTATGCACCAAACCCTCAACCCTCAAAACCCGGCTTGTGAGGACCCAGCCTCGCCAGGGCTTGCACAGTGGCGCGCCTGCGTCATTCTGCAAGAGGAGCGATGGTGCATGAACACTTAAAGGATTTGCGGCCTTAGCGCTCAGGGTTTGAGAGTTTAACTGTTTACGAGTAGTTTAACTGTTTTGGTTTTGCATGGTTTCAGGGTTTCCAGGGATTAAAGGACTTTAAGGGTTTCACGGGCTTGGGGTTCAGGACTCTACTCCCTGGGTCAGCTGCATCGCTGCGTCCGCGTGGCCTCGCCGTGCATCTCGAAGTACCTGCAGTAACATCACGTGCATCAGCATGGGGGGGTTTACGAGAATCAGGGACCCCTATAAGTGTCCCCAAAAACAAAAAGCCTTATTGCGGAAGCCCCAAAAAGGGTACCCCTTTTAAAAAGGGTGCCCCTTTTTGCGGAAACCCCCGTACAGGGAAGGATGCAACTGCCGGCACCTCCGAAGCCGAAAAGCTGAACTGCTGAAAATCAGGGAGGGCTCCCCATCTGCGGCTTCTTGTAGTCGGCCCTGCTGGACAGCTTGATGACCTGTCGATCGATAAGTTTAGGGTTTAGGGTTTAGGGTTTAGGATTTGGGGTTTAGAGTCTAGGGTTTAGGGTTTAGGGTTTAGGGCTTAGGGCTTAGGGCTTAGGGCTTAGGGCTTAGGGCTTAGGGCTTAGGGCTTAGGGCTTAGGGCTTAGGGCTTAGAACCCTAACACCCTCACACCCTAAACCCCACGACACAGTTCTGAGGGGAGGGCCCAGCTGCCATCCAGGCAGCCAGGGATGGCGCCGTCCACCTCTAAAGATGTCTCTTGGCTTCGAAGATTTTGTGTGTTGAGAGTTTGAGGATTTTGGGGCTTTGGGGCTTGAAAGTTTGAGGCTTTTGGGGCTTTGGGGCTTGAAAGTTTGAGGATTCTGGGGCTTTGGGGCTCAATGTTGCACACTCTTTAGTGTGCATCCCCTCACGCGCCTGTTCAGTCGAAGCTGATTTGGTCCCTCTGGACACGGTCCCAGGATTATAGGTCGGACAGGGAGGCCCTACAATTCATATGATGTTGAAGGCACCACCCGAAAGATTCTTCCCGGAAGGCTTCACCAGGCACCCCCGAACAGCCACACGGTCCTGAACGGCCCTGTCAACTTGACTTCATAGAGGAGGGGCCCTACTACTAAACAGGGTCCAACAATAGGCCCAGGGCCCCGAAACCCTAAACCCTAAACCAGACGCAACTGGCAAAAAGGTGCAGAGAGGACACAGCTTCCCGGTGCTGATACAGGACCAGCTCTTCCTGAGGCGTGGTGCCCTCCTTGAAGTAGATGACGCCTGGGAGGAAACGTGAATTTGCTGCGAAGCCAGCACGGTTCACGGTTCGGTTGTGGGGCTCAGGGCTTGGGGTTCAGGGATTCAGAAAGTTGTAGGGCAGGACGAATTCCTTGAGTTTCGCGTTAGTTTGTTTGACGTATTTAAGTTCGTATGGTGTAGGATATGCAAAACTATGATTTTGGAATAGAAGTTGAGTAAATAAAAGTCTCTGATGACCGGGGATGGACATAATTTTGTGGGCTATCTTTAGGAAAGGGTAGGGTTGTAGAGCTTAAAGTATGCCGTCAAAGATGCTGTTGCGCAGAGTGTCTGCACCAACCTCGGTTTCACTGGATGCTCAGGGGCACAACGCTGAAACATGTGTAATGAAGCCGCAGGTTGTTTTGCAGTCCTCACTCCATACCATCACTCCGTCTACACATCATCATACCTCAACTTCAGATCAGCCGCAGAAGGGGGGGGAGAAGGGGGTAGGCTCCACCAGCAGAACTGTGCAAAAGCGGCGGGCACACCACTTGCACCCCATGGGCAACCCTGCGGGCTCTTTGGCAAGTAGCCGGGCAGTAGATGCCATTGTAGTACCATGTCGCAGTTCTGACCTCGTCAGGGCACGCTGAATGACCCTCATCACAACTGGAGCCACTCCCGGCCCGCCTCACGGCAGGTGTCCGTGTTGGAGCAGTTCCAGATCTTGGCAATGGCCTGTAGGGCTTCCACACCCCGGCTGGCAAGTGAGCTGGCACATCTGCTTCTGCCCTCATGAGGCACCATGAAGAAAGCCCAGAGTCAAAACGCAAAATCAAACGCAAAAGCCCGAATGACGGTCTCCCCCGAAGAATAAACTTCCGAGCCCCCCCCCCCCCCACAAGTCTGCTGGATCGAGGTCCGCGCCTGAAGCCAACCACCATCGGCCCGTTTCACGACTTGCGAGCAGTTGCCCTGAGCACGCCGAAACTGGGCACACCATAGGAGCTGCAAGAGAGAGTAAGAGGGAGGAAGTGGGAGGAAAGGGGGAGAGTCGTTGTTTCGGGCTTTGAGTGCTTTAAGGTGCTAGGGGCTGTAAGGACCGTACTTATGTAAGTACATGAGGCCGCCTTTCAAAAACCCCTGCTTGCAATCCCCAGCCTGGTCCCACTTGTAGTAGGCGCAGCTGGAGCGAACTCGGCAGAGCTTGCGGCACGAGCCCTGCAAGCGTTGGCTAAAACCACCGGAGCTGCAGACCCAAGCCGTTGCCAAAACTGGCCCCCCCCAAGCTCCCCAAGCTCCCCCAAGCTCCCCCAAGCTCCCCCCAAGCTCCCCAAGCTCCGCAAGCTCGCCAAGCTCCCCAAGCTCCCCCAAGCTCCCCCAAGCTCCCCAAGCGCCCCAAGATTTCCTTGCTAAACTTTGACGCTTTTCTTGGATCCTCCGAGAAAGCTTTGTGGCCGGGTAGGGGGCAGGCAGCCTCGTCCGCGGGCGCCACGCCCGATAGTGGCTGCAAAGTCTCGGCCAGGCCCATGACGGTGTCCTCCAGCATTCAAGGGCCTGATCTACCCTACCCTCAACCCTCAACCCTAAACCCTAAACCCTAAACCCAAAGCTTGTTTGGGGTGAACGAAAACCCCTGTGAAGGTCCTCGGCCCAGCAGGTCGTGTCGCGGATTGTTATGGCCAGGTCAGCCTCAGCCAAGCACCTCCTATGTAATGACAGGAGGCTCTGCTAATGCCCTAAGAACCTAAGGGCCCTGACACCCGATTACTCTTAAAACCCAGAATAACCGAGTACTACCCTGATGCCCCAATGCCCTCATACTCCCAAAACCCTACTACCCTCATGCCCTAAGGCCCTCGTACTCTGAGACCCTAATACCCCTAACTGCCCTAAACCCTAAACCCTAAACCCTAAATCCTAAACCCTAAACCCTAAACCCTAAACCCCAAACCCTAAACCCTAAACCCTAGACGGGCGGCAGAGATGGTGGGGATGCCCGGGTCCGCGAAGTCACCGAAGACTTTGCCTCAGAGAGCCGAGAAGTTGGGAAGTGGGGGGGCTGGGCACAAAATATTTATGTTTAGGGTTTAGGTTTAGGGTTTAGGGTTTAGGGTTTAGGGTTTAGGGCTTAGGGTTTAGGGTTTAGGGTTTAGGGTTTAGGGTTTAGGGTTTAGGGTTTAAGGTTTAGGGTTTAGGGTTGTCGTAACAATTCTACTAGAAACAATGATCAAAATAACATGTGCTAGGTTAGGTACTATTGACTCTTGGTATTATGATTTTATGTGGAAAGCGAGCTTCTTGGGAGTGCTTTCATGGGTGCTAAGCCAGGGTGCTAAGCCAGGGAAGCTCCCTTGAGAGTCTTTGTCTATGGTCGGCTACCGATTCAGGGCCGAGCGACACGCGAAGGAGATGGACCATGCCTCCGTGCTTGACTTGCCCAACATTGCCTCAAAGGCAACAAGGCGCTCACTGAACTCGAAAAAGCGACACAGATGGCGGCAGCCCTTCTCTAAACACGCCAACGTTCCAGTGTCGGAGCTGCTGATGATTCAAGCCGGTGATCGCACATGCAAGCCAAGCCACATCAAAGATGCTCTCGAAGGACTTTGGCACATCCAGCACAATCTGACCGTTGCTCGCCACCTGAATGATAGGATGCCCATCGAACATGCCTCAGGAAGAAGGCACCATGACCGTCAGCGCACTTTGTGCACAGAAGGAAGTGCCGCCCGCACTACACCACGGACACTACGGAGCAACCCCAGAAAGCCTCAACAGCAAATACGGGTTGCTGTTAAAAGGAACTTGAAATCCCATACTAAGAAACCACATTGGACACTTTCTCTCCCCCGTCAATATGGCCACGTATTTTAAAGCAGCAGCCCTAAATCTCATGCCAAGGCGCCAACAGCCAAAAGTGAGTCGAACACAAAGCGCGGGTCATCACAGGCCAAAGTGTAGCGAAAAGGCATCAGGACCTCCTCACTTCCTGCCAAAAGCCACGGCTTTGTAATCAGAGGCACGGCGCTCACAATAGTCATAGCAATGACATGCATTGTCGTCATCATAATCCTCATGAGAAAAACCTACATATCATGACTATGACTATAACAATAATACGTAATCATAGTAGCAATAACAACCATGATATGAGTAGTAGTAGTAGTAGTAGTAGTAGTAGTAGTAGTAGTAGTAGTAGTAGTAGTAGTAGTAGTAGTAGTAGTAGTAGTAGTAGTAGTAGTAGTCATGTGCGCACCAAGAAGAAGCCACATTCTCAGGCTCTTCTTGGTGTCCTCCCCCGGTCCTTGCTTCAACTCCACCGCGGGAATCTTCTCCCCAACAGCCGTGGAGAGGGCTGTGGCCGAGTACCTTCGGCATGAGGTCTTCGGGTTTCTGGCTTTAAGGTTTTTGGGGTTGAGTTAGGATGTTCCCCCTTATACTAACAGTTCTTAATTCAGGACTGTTAGTATCAGGGGGGACCTCCCAAGTTTAGGGTTTAATTAAGGTTTGGGGTGCCGGGCTTCTGGTTTGACCCAAAACCCTAGACCCGGCAAGCTGCAACATCATAGGAAGATGCTCCCTGAAAAAAGACCAGAAGATGGCAACCATAGTCACACCACCCCCTGAAACCCCCCCACCCTACACCCTAAACCCTCAAGGCAATTCAAAAGGGCTCCCCCCTCGGATCGGGTCACTGGAGGCTTGCCAGCGGCATCGGCTTGACCTGCCATGGCACTGTTCGGTTTAGGGTTTAGGGCTTGGGGTTTAGGATTTAGGGTTTAGGGTCTACAGCCAAGGAAGCGGAAGAGGGGGCACTTGGGGGGAGAACTTGGGGACTCTTGGGGGGCGCAGCTGGGAGGGCGGAGCTTCGGGCTGGCTTTTGCAATGAAAGTTGGGGTGCTGGGGGCTCTTCTCCTGCGTTCCCTGGCCCTCTCAGGTCGCGGCCACCAGCAGCTTGGAGGTCTTCTTGTGGGAGGGAAGCGCCGGATCGGAGGTCCAGTTGCCAGAGACTTCCTTCTGCGCCATCCCATGACCCCTAAGACTACCACTGCTCCCCAGAAGATATCCAAAAAATGGGGACCCTTACCGGTCTGATGTCTTGAAACGTACGTATTCACCCTTTTTGCTTCCGCAACCCTAAGCGCGCCATCCCGAAGCCCGAAGCTTGCTTCAGTCGAGCTTCGCACACACCGCCCACCTGCCCTTCGTAGGTGTCCATGATGTTGTCCACGGCTCCGGAGCCCTGCTTTCAGAGTGGGAGTCCTAGGGTTTAGGGTTTAGGGTTTTGGGGTTTGGGGTTTAGGGTTTTGGGGTTTGGGGTTTAGGGTTTAGGGTTCAGGGTTCAGGGTTTAGGGTTTAGGGTTTAGAGTTTAGGGTTCAGGGTTCAGGGTTCAGGGTTCAGGGTTCAGGGTTCAGGGTTCAGGGTTTAGGGTTTAGGGTTTAGGGTTTAGGGTCTAGGGTTTAGGTACATACAGGCCCGTACTATTTATCATGGGGATCCTATATTGAAGGGATCGTCATGTCGACGCTCTTGCAGATGCACACCCGCCTCTGCCGTGCTTGTGAGGCTGCCCGTGGCCGCGTCGAGCACCAGCCAGTCATTCTTTGGAGCACAGCTGAGCCTTACAGTAGAACTGATTGTGCTTCCCACGCATGGCGTGTCCATCATGCAGCAGAGTTACGCCAGGTTGGACCAGTGACCAGCAGTCTTCCTGAGTGATTAAAAACCGCACCAGCGGTCAGCTTTTCTTCTAAGAGTTCCTGGCCTCAAAGGGAAGCTCGTCGCCGACGCGAACACCAAGGGCATGGCGCCATAGGTCAAATCCTGCCACAATCTCAGAACACTCTCCGACCTTGGGGGCCTTTCGAAGGTGGCCCCCGAAGGCCTCTTAAGCCCTGGTAGTGCCCAGTGTCCTTCACAGACACCGTCAGCGGCGCGGTGTACACGATGTGGGCCGCTTGGTACGCCGTCACCTCGTTCGCAGCGCTCGGAGATCAAGCGCATGTGCCTGCTGACCTGAAGGCCTCGGACCCCAAAAACCTGGACTGAGAGTGAAGCCATCATCTTACGAAGCTCACAAAAAGCCAAAAAATGGCGCTCAAGCCTTCGGTGCACGTGCCCCTCTTGCTGCGGAACTTCAAGGAGCCCCTCCCGAACGAGCCTTGCACGCGATGGTAAACGGCTCTTGGGGCTTGTCCCGGCCCGGAGCATACATCACCTGCATTTGTGGCGTTTACTTAGTGTATATATATATATAAATAGTGTACATATATATATATATATGTGTATATACATATACATATATATATATATATACTGACCGAAGACGGTTGTTCGAGGTCCCTATCCCTCTTAGGTTTCGGCTTGGAGTGTAAGGTTTCGTAGGCTTGTAAGGGCCGTTCAGGCTTAGGGCTCCTGTCGACCAAGTTGTGCCTGCAGCCAGGGTCTGAGACGAGGGCGCCCGCAGTAGCTGCCGCACCCCAAGCAAAAAAAGCCCCGCGATGTCCCCAAATACCCAAAACGCCAAAGACATGTCTGCAAATCAAAGCCTTCAAACACCCAAACAAGTTCCCACAAAATGTCAAAACATTCCCAAAATATGCTGAGACCTCACCTCGCCAGTACTTCCATCAAGCGTGAGGTTGAACTCGGTCAGCGCGCACTCCTCATCCACACCATAACGGTCGGCGGTTCCTCGGATTCGTCAGTATGGGACCCGAAAAGCAGCGCTACGAAGGTTTTCCGAACGTTCCGCTCGAAACCAAAAGCTGAAGCCCCAGCTTAACCGGACCCCCTCCCACCCACTGCCTCAAACACCTGTACTTTCTACCATATTGGCGGTTGTAAGGTTTTAGAATTTTGCACTCTCAAACCCGTGGAGAATGTCTGTGCTTGACAAGGTGCGCGGTTTGGGAGCCATGTGCAGGTCTTCGCCCACAATGAACCTGAGGAAAACTCGGGCTTTCCACCTGGACCTCCACAAACCCTTCCCCGAACCACCTACCCTAAATTGCCCTAAACTACCCATAGCTGCCTTAGCGTCAATTCCCCTTGATGCTGAAACCGTGGAACCCTAAACGCTCCCAAACCTGAAGCCCCGAGCATTCGGGGATGTTGAGGGTTTGGGATATAACACCCCAAACCCTGAACCCTCAAGCCCGAAGCCCTGAAGACCCCTCCCCTTTCCCCCCTCCCCTTTTGCTGCAGCCAAAAGGGCTCCTTTGTCTCAAAAGCAAAAGGTGTCGGGCTCACCACGCCTGACAGCGAAGGTTGAGGGCTTGTGGTTTCAAATGCCCAGGCCTAGCCCCAAACCCTAAACCCTAAACCCTAAACCCTGAACCCTAAACCCTGAACCCTAAACCCTAGAACGCGTTTGGGCATTACGAAGTCCAGGGGGTTTAAGCGTTGAGGGGCTTGAGGGTTTTCGCGAGGCAGGTTCTGGGTGCCACGCGACTCTCCCCCGACTTCCTGGCCCCATCCCCTTCGTGCCTCCGCCACAGTGGCAGCAGGCCTTTCACATTGCAAGCCAGGGTGTAGGGGTTCAGGCTTCAATGTTCAGGGTTCAGGGTTCAGGGTTCAGGGTTTAGGGGTTGAGGGGGTTCCATCCTCACACTTGCAGCTATGTCAAACTTTGCCGTTCGACCAGCCTCGTTGCTGCTCAGGCCGTGGAACTTCACGTCCGAGCAGTCAGCAGGGCCAAGCTGCTGGCATGTCCTGCATGGCACTCGCACGAAGCACCAGTGGGGCTTGGGGCCTCGACTTTCAGAAAGCTTCTGGTCTTCATCACCCCTGCCTGCCATCCGAAGTCACCCAGCCCGCCGAGTGAAGGCAAGCTACGCAAGAGCCCGCTCGTTGCACAAAGCCGCCGGAGCACCTAGGAAGCTTTGCAGCTTTGCTCAGGGGAGGTTTCGGCACAGGGCAGGGTCTAGGGCTTTACACTTTGCAGTTGGGAGGGCAAATCCTTATCTCTCCCCTCACCAATGAGCACCAGGAAGGCAAGCGCTTTAGGTTTCAGCATGGCCAGGCCGCAATGTGCAAGCGGAGCTCCACTCAGCGCACCCGGCGCAGCCAATCTCTGCTGCAGGGCCTTAAATCTGCCGCCGCGCAAAAAACTCACGAATCCAACCGAAAACGTGCCACTTAGCTGCAGCAGGTCTCAATGACCCCTGCCATCGAGTACTTGAGGAGGCGGACCTGGCCCGACAGCATCCGGAAGCCCATGACGCAAGCTCACACGAACTGCCATAAAAATATATGTATATATATATATATATATATATATATATGGTAGCATATATACATACATATATATGGGGCCGTCAAAGAACAACTCAGCGTCGTACCGAAAGAAGAAAGCTTGAGGGCTGTCTGGGGCATTCTGGAACGGCAATCTGCGTGCAACGAACCATGTGGAGAGCCGGGGCCTCGTTGGCGCCGCAGGCA